TTTCATAGTTGGAAAACATTCTCAAGTGTTTCTCTCTAAAAGGGTACATGATTCGAATGTTTCCCTTGCACACTTGAGAATGTCTTGTGTTTATCATGGCCTGTACACATGTAAGACAGTCTAGCTAGGTATAAAATTCTTCGGTCACAAACTTTTCCCTCCTCAAGACCTGTAGACATCGCCCCATGGTCATCTGGTCAGCTTCTTCCTCTTCTTGGTTTTTAATTTACATACATGTTTTTCTTCATCCTGTTATTTCATATGTTTTGCAAAGATGTGTCTGGGCGTTGGTCTCTTTTCCTTGATTCAAAAAAGTTCAGTGAGCCCTTTTCTTGTGTGTGCTCAGGGCTGTCTTTAGCCCAGGAATCCTGTCGTTGAGTGTTGTTCGGTTCCACTTGGCCTGCACTGTGGTCCTCTCCCGGTTACATGTCACCTCCCCACTCTTTCCCTTGTACCCTGATCATTCTCTTTCACAGTTCTCATCTCTCTACCCTTCTCCTCGAAAATGTGGGAGAATTTCTCTCACTTATCTTCCATATTTTTGAATCAGTTTTCTACAGTATCATTTTTCTTCACTGCTTCCCAAGTGGATTTTAATTGCACTGCAGGGTTTTTGGGTTTTTGTTCTTTTCCGTTCTTCTCTCTCTCATATGTCACCCTTCTTGTGTCATCGTATGGCTTCAGCCTAGTGTTCCCTTACGGCTCCCTTCTCCTAGAGGAGAAGACACATCATAGACACGTGTCTTATTAGAATTTTTTAGTCTGCCATCCTCGTTCAGTTACATATTATCTATGACTGTTTTCCATCTATGGTGCCAGAATTCAAATAGTTGTGACGAAGACCGCAGGCCCTCAAAGCCTAAACTATTTACTTTTGGCGCTTTGCAAAAAAAATTGCAGATCCCTGTCTCAGTGTGACAGCTGGATTGCTGTTTTAGCTGCAAGCTGGATGGCACGGGAAAGTATGCAACTCCATCTCTGGTTCCTGGTTTTTACCTGCCTTTTCCCTGGGTTCACCTCTGCTCTGTGGAGGTGGTGTTCTTCTGCCTCCACTGCCTGATTTCCTCGCTGTCTGCGTCAACGACTCAGGGAAAAGTGCAGGTTCAAATACCCAGCGCAGACACTGTCCTTCCAGCCCCTCCCCTTCCCAAAGATTCTCCTCCCTGAAGGAGGCCACTGTCACCAGCACCCCCGTCCACTTCCTGCTCACTTGTTTTCTGGTTGTTGTCTGTCTGCCATTTTCCCTTTTTAAGCAATCTTTCTGTTCACCAGACAAAGAACTGTGTCCGGTGGTAAAACCTGGGCAGGTTTAGCTTGCTCCAGCACCATCTGCCTTTAATTAATAGAGATTGCTCCCAGATTCCAACATTGGGTCATCTATCAGTTTCGTTTTTGGCATTAGCGTGAATTTTTTTTTCGTTGTCTTTATAGCTATTTTGGAACAGAACAAGGAGGGGCTACGTGGGTGACTGCCAAGTAGATGCCATTTTGAAGGAGTCAGAGCTGCATTTAAAGCTGCGGTTTGTCCATCTTGAAGCAGTCTCTACAGCTTCGTGTGTATTTGATAAAAGAAGAAAATACAGGAATACTTTCTTCATCCATGGCCCACTTGTCCAGTGACCTCAGCTCTCTGGAATACAACCAAAACAAAGAGTCCCCATGCAGCCAGATAGCTGCCACCGTGTCCTTGTTCTGGAGGTTATTCACTTTACCCAAAGGGACCATTCTGGTCTCTTATTCTGAGCCCGTTTGCCCACGTCTTGCATAGAATCCTAACCAGCTGGGCCCTCCTGTTTTCCTAGCTCACAACTACGTGGGAAGCAGTGAGTCTGAAGAGACTGGGGGGCATTTTAGAACAACAAGCACACTGACCTGACGAGAATTTCTGGCTAACCGAAAGAAAAGACGTAGGCCCTCCCCCTCCCCCCACAAAATTATAACCACAAACGTTCAGAGCTGGCAGAACTTGTGTTCCTCTCTGTGAGCACCCCTGTTTTTTCTGTGTGCTCACTCACCTGTCTGGGCCTTTCCTCTTCCAAGCTGGGTGCTCCGTGCAAGTGCTGGGTGCAGAGGTCCTGCCCCCTCCTCCCACCGCTACGGTCGATTCAGACTGTGGTTCTGGACACTGGCTGCACAGTAGAATCGGTCACCTGGGGGACTTTAAAAATCTGGACGTTCGGGCTCCCCACATAATGTCTTGGGGTGGGACTCAGGTGTCGGCTGCTTTACAGATAATTCTGCTGAACAGTCCAGGCTGGGAACCAGGGGGTTAGGAGTACAGACTCCACCGCCTGACCACCTCATCCATAAAACGGGGCCGATGGGCAGGGCGGACCCACGCCGCACGACTCGTTGGCGCCACGTGAGTGGCTGCCATTATTGAGGCACAGACTGGGTGTTCATGGGGACCGCTGTGATTTGTCAGGCAGGGTCTGGAGCTCGAGCTAATTAGGCAGTGACGGATGCCACATGTCCTAGTATGGTTTCTCTTTCAGGTGGATGACACTTGGTTCTGAAAGATGAGCTGTAGATGTCACTCGGAGGGAGAGTGAGGAGCAGGAAGGGGGAGGGGAGCGGGAGGGGCAGGTATGTTGTCACAGGACTCGGTCACCTTCTCTTAGGCTCCATAGAGCAGAGCTCTCATGGGATGGGCGCCCGGGACATTTCTGACTCTGGTTTCCTCCTCGTTGTGCAGAGGGACTCGGTCCCTCCCTCACAGGTTGCTGTGAGGCTCTGGTGGCGGCGGGTTCAGGGCTGAGGGGGAGCGGTGTGTCTCGACCCATCAGAGGAGCAGGGTGGAGGTGATTTCCTCCTGACCAGAATGCAAGTTTTGACGTGGACCAATGACTTTCATAAAAAATAACAAACAAGTGACAAGCGTGGATCTGAGGCTGTCCCTATAATAACGTCGCCGGCACCGCTTGCATTCCATCTCCTTTCCCTAAGCAGAGAGAGCAGGATGGGCTTCCAGCCGGCATACTCGGGACCACAAGGACTTTAGCACGACCTGGGCTTTGCCACAGTAGTGGCTCTGCTGTGAGTGTCATCTGTCCCTGAGCTGGCAGAGATGTGGCTGAGAGTGGCTGCTCCAGACAGTGAAGTGTAGCGTGATGACGGTGGTGCCTGGGTCGCCATCCCCTCTCAGCTCGACCTCTCAGCCTTGGCCATAGGAGAATGCAGGCCGCTCTCCCCGGACGCCCCAGCCCCTGCATTCCGAGAGCCTCTTCCTCTAGCCCCAAGCAGCCGACCAGCAGTCCAGCTGGCAGGCAGGACTGGCTCTGTAGCCTCTGCTGCTCCTGGACAGGGCATCCTGGGGTGGGAGCTGGGGCCAAGGGCTCAGACCACAGTGGAGCAGGCAGAGGGGCTGCTTTTTCCTCAGTTACTGAGACTGGTTCCTACCTGGGTGCCCCAGGAAGCTGGCTCAGGGGGCACAAGGAGCTGTGGGCTATGACTCCCAGGGCAGTGGGATGCAGCTGTTGTGACTTAAGTTGTGGCACCACTCAGTGTATCTCAGGACCTTGAAGGAGGCAGCAACCTCCCGCAGGGTCAGAGACTGACCTTTGGGGGGATCTCGGACTATTCCCTGCAGACCTCAGCTGTGGCTCGGGGGCCAGGTGTAGGGGAGCGGGTAGTAAAACTCTCTGGCTTTGTCCTGTGCTCCCACGCAAATTACTCCTCCCCCCTAACTTGGCCCCTAACTCTGCAGAACTGGGGGCTGGCAGCTGCTCCTAGCCAGGCACGTGTGTGTGTGTGTGTGTGTGTGTGTGTGTGTGTGTGTGTGTTCCTGTCACCTTTTTGTCCCCCTTCCCTATCCTCACCAGGACATATGCCCAGTCCACCTCCACCACCCAGGACCACAGGCTGGGCTCTCCACGGCCCCAGGCCAGCCTGTCTGGTCCCTGCCAGCAGTCTAGGAGTTGCTGGAACACAGGTGCCCCTCATCCCGGGCTCTGAGCCCAGTGCCCTACACACTGAGGGCGGTCTGCTGCTGTTTGCAGGGACACGCAGTGTGGCATAACCAAGAATGCAGGGATTTCACATCTCAGACCCATGTCGGAGGCCCTGTCTTGGTGCCAGCTATTAGGGATGCCTTGGGCAGGTGACCTCAGTTTTTGTATCTGCAGAGTGGGAATAACACCCCCACATCAAAGAGTGGTTGTGAGGACTGAATGAGATCTAGCACGTCGAGTAGTAGTGCCAGGCATCCTGTCTGCCAGATAGGGAAGGAATTAGACCACCTCATCTGAGGAACCAGAAGAGCTAGCAGGGAGAGGGCATGATGGGCTGGGCTCAGAGCTGCGTATTTGGTGGGCTGCCACAGGCCACCCCCAAGAGAAGCAGTCCCCGGGCCCCTCTGTAGCCCGCCTGGCTCGCACTTGGACTGTGGGAAGCCCCCAGGGATGCCAGCAGGCACAGACCGGGCAGCCCACTCTCTCAGCTGTAGGGCCTGTTAGAACTGGACTCTTCTTCGGGGGGCATTTTATCTGCACACTCCAGTAGAGTGGACACCAAAGGGGTTTTCTAATACTTCATGGGCTGCTAATTTCCTCCGTGACCTTTTTTGTTAGGGCTGACCCCAGCCAGAGGCTTCGTGCCATGAAAGCTAGCGCCTGACACAGACCCGGGGCACAGGGTGACAATGAGGCCTCTATCAGCTTTAATCAGGTTCCAGTTGTGTCTTAAGAACAGGGGAATTTGTGTGGCGCTCAGAAGCCCTGGGTGGCATGCAATGGGGGCCCCCAGAGTCCCTGAGGGAGGCCAAGGGGGCTGCGGGCAGCAGCTAAAGGATTTGTCAGGCTGGGGCGGGGGCAGTTCAGGCAAGGGTCTTTGTCCCAAGTACCTCTTTAGAAGCCAGGCCTGCCCTGAATGGCCGCCTCCCCAGCCTGGCCTGTGGGTATCACAGACCTCTGGGTATGTGGGGAGGCGGCCCCCCTCCGCCGCCAGCCTATTCAGCGCCCGTCTAATTAGGTTTTGTCTGTGTGTGCTCCTATCCCCTGCAGACTGTGATTCCTACTGCAAGGCCTCCAAAGGGAAGCTGAAGATTAACATGAAAAAGTACTGCAAGAAGGACTATGGTGAGTGAGGGTCTGGGGACGGGGGCGGGGCCCAGGACCCGCAAGCAGCTGGAGTTGGGGTACAAGTGGTCCTGTGTGGGAGTGGGCGATGAGGTCCCTGTGACTGAGCAAGACCCAGCCGAACAGATCACATGCCCAGGAATTTCTCATCTCCTCCACCTTGGTTCTTGGAGGCAAGGGGCCTGAGGGACCACTGGGTATGAGGGCGGGTTTGCCCCAAGCCCTGTAGGGTGGTACCTGGCCCGCGGGGCTGCTTGGGACTTGGATCCCCTCTGGCTTCCTGTGCCTCACACACTCTGTGGCCATCCAACCTGAGCCTCTGTTGCACAGAGTCTGGTCCATGGCATGTTTAAAATGCAGACTCCTAAAGCTACCCGCTTCTGGGGCTTAACTCCAGCAGGGGCCAGGGCGGGTCGGGGAGCCTGCATTTTAGCAGCTCGCTGGCAATTCTGATGCACTGAAGGTTGAACACAGCCAAAGGGGCATCTCCTCCATCTCTTCCAGCCCGAAGTTGTGGGGTGGCAGCCCTGGGAGCCACCTGCAGATTCCCTGTCACCTCAGCCCTCGGGCTCCCTGAATTGGGAAGGGAGTGTCCCATCCCCCTGCTCTGATCACGCGCTGCTCTCCCCAACCCTGGGGACAGCGAACCCCCTGCACCGTTGCTCTGCTGAGCTCCCCTTTCCCGCCCAGGAAACGCTTGCTGAGAGTGCCCTGGCGCCTGCCCCATCCAGTGGGAGGTGGAGTCGCTTTGTGCTTTCTGGTCCCTGACAGTGTTCTCACTTAGGCAGACCCCTCTGGTCCTGTGGGTGGGGAGCCTGTAGGAGGCAGGGAGGCCTTGTGGACGCATGCACGGCTGTGTGCAAAGAGCTGAGTGGGTTCTTCGGAGCAGGACAAGCAAACAGAGGTCCTGGGGGAGTCACCGAGCCGCCCAGTGGCAGAGCTCGGAATGCCCTGTGTAGAGACTGGGGTGTCTGTGTGGCAGCCGAGGCCCTGGTCGCCCAGCCAGGAAGCAGTGCAGCCAGGAGGCAGGCTGAGGGTCTCGGGCCTGGGTGCTGGCGCTCTCCTCCATGGGACCCTCTTCCTGACCTGGGAGGCCTGGTGGATGGCGGTTGGTGCCGGTCCTCTCCCAGCTCCTGTCCACTCCCTCTGCCCACCTTCTCACTCCAGCTGGATGCTGCCAGGTCTCGCCTGTCCCCTCTCCAGGGGCCCCTGAGGCAAATTTCCCATGAAGGTCTCTGGGCCCTGCCAATTCCAGCATCACTCTGGCCTCATCTGGGAAAGGAAGTGGAGGGGCCTCTTTTTTCTGCCCTGTTTCCCAGGCCTGCCCTGGCCATGCTCCCCCGGTGGGACCGGGGCCAGGTCTGGTTGTGTATTTGAGCCTCCTTGTTGGTAACGTGGGTGTGATGGCCTATCGCACGTGCGTGGGAACCACCCAGCACAGGGCCCAGTGTCCAGCAGGCTCCCGTGGAGAGTGACCTCCACTCGTCCACAGGAAGCTGGGCCGGGAGGGAGGGCGGCAGGAAGAAACAGCTGGAGCAAGTGAGGTGAGAAGGAAGGCCCCCCATGAAGAGGTCTCCTCACCCAGGTCCTGCACTTGCTCCTTCCAGCCCAAGGGGGTCTGGCAGCCTGGCTCTGTGGGGGTCCTGACTAGGCCAGCTGTTTGAACTACACCTAAGGATTTGTTTCTTTACTAAAGACAATGGTTGGGACCTTTCAGCAGAGTGAAATGAATGATGAGGCCCAAAGGAACCCAAAGGACTTCTGAGAACTTCTAAAACGTTCTCATTTTACTGTGTGTGTGTGCAGATAGACGCCCACACACAACCCCCCACTCCGATGCCCTGGGGCGGCCAGGCCATCGCGCAGATCCGGTGCTCACCACCCTGGTTTCCGTGTCAATTCGGAAGTGGCCAAGTCATGTACCCCCTGTTCAGGACCCCCTGGGCTTCCACAGTGAGTTCCTAAAAGCCCCTCAAAGTGTCTGTCCCCAGAGCAGTGCAGAAACGTCCAGCTCCCTCTGGAAGACAACCCTGATTTTTAAAACAAACCCTGAAGTGGTTTCAGGAGAAAGGGCACCCTGTCTTTGAGCACGGAGAGGCCCCAGGCTGTTTTGGATGAGCTGGCGCGTCCACCCACTGCAGAGCCTCGTCTTCCCAGCCCCAGGTGTGTGGGTGTGCGGTGGGGAGAGGGGGCGTCCTGGAGGTCACCCCTGTGGGATTCCGACTCAGGCGAGAGAGCCCCAGGAGTCTGCCCGTCCTGCTGGGCCCAGGCTGTCCTCACAGGCCCAGAGAGCCCGGAGCCGAGGAGAAGAGCCCTGGGCCTCCCCACCTCCCCTCCCCCAGGCCAGAACAGGGGCAGGAAGGAAAAGGGGTCGGTGGCCTGTTTGGCGAAGGGTTGTTTTAATCTTAGTCTTGAAGCATCTGTGGAGAGAGGCCAGGAGCGAGAAAGAGCTGAGCTGTCTTTCTGTGAGGTGTTGACCCACTTCCCCCATTTTGTTTTGCAAGTGGAAAAAAAAAAGGAAAAATTGGACTTTTATTTAAAAGTTACCAGAGTGGATCCTGTTTTCCACCTGGTTCTGTTGGATTCAGCCCCGGTTTGCTCTCTTCTTTTGTCCACCATGGAATTCTCCCCGCCCCACCCCAATATTCCTGGGGACATTGGCCCCTCAGGGCTCTCCTGGCCTTCTCACCCCCAGCTGACAGGCCCACTCTCTGTTCACGGACCCAGAGGGACCTTCAGGCCCTCCTGAGCCCTGCCCCTGCTGGGGGCTGCCCTGGGCACCCGCCCCCCTCTCCTGCTGGTGGGGGTGGGTGGGGCGCCGTCTCTGGGCGCCATCTGACTCTTGCCCCCGCCCTTGTTTTCCCCTCACTCCCGACTCACTGCAATCGCCAGAATGAAGCAGGTGTCCAAGGAGGCGGGCCTCAGCTCCTCATGCCACCGTTGGGACCCTGGCCCAGCCTTTTGCTCCTTCCACAGGTCCTTCCCTGAGTCTCCCTCCTCCCCACATCACGTTTAGCCCAGGGCCCTACCTGCCCAAGGCCAAGAGGGGCAAGGAACAGCTCTGCACAGCCCCCTTTCCAGGCTTCACTGAGGCCACCACTGCTCCTGCCCCACAGACACCGCACCGCCCAGCTGTCCACGTTTCCACTGCCGGGCAAGATGTGGGAAGCAGCACACGTAGGAGAGAAGTAGCATGCCCCTCCAGGGGCCAGCGAGGTCCGGGTCTGCGAAGCTATTGCACCACCACTTTCATGTCCTGCTAACCTCTCCCCCTGGCCCATGGCCCCACAGCCAGGACTGGAACTGCCCCTCCCATTCTCCCAAAACGCTGTGTGATCTGGTCCCCAGGTCTGTCACTGATAACTCTCGAGGTCACCTACAAGTTGGGCAGCATCCCCACCCATCTCAGGATCTAGGCTTGTGTGTTGGGCAGGAGGCAGGACAAAGAAGAATCTCAGGGGCTTCTGGGGACGGTGGCTCACCGGGCCCAGCAGGGCTGTGGGCAGGCCTCCTGCGGGGCGCACTGAGGAGGCGGGCAGGGGCCTGCCGGCACAGCGGGAGGCCGGCTCGGCAGCCGCTACAGGCCCGGCTCCGGGACTGGGGTTCATGTCTTGGCTCTGGCCCAAGATTCTCCTTGTGGGGAATCTCCCTGTGTCCTGTTGGGGACCCTGCATCCCCAAAAGAAGTATAAGCAGGGGTGTCCCTCTCACACCAGGAGCTGACCTGGCCCAGTGAAGGGAAGATGAGCAGGAAAGGATGAGGAGGGTGCTAGCCTCGGGGCTGGTGAAGCAGGTGAAGCCGGCCAGAGCGGGCTGGGCCAGGAGGCAGGGATGGAGGGAGGTTGGAGGGCTGGTAATCTCTGTTCTGACTGACAGCCCGGCGGGGAGCCAATTAGGAAACACATTCCCTTCGCTGCAAGCCAGGGCACTTGGATGTTCCAGGAGTTGCTAATTGGAACCTTGGGTTTGCCATCCCTGCTGGGTGAGGAGCAGGCCCCTTCTCCTGGGCCAGCTCATGAGCCTTGAGGTTGTGCTGTGGTGGAGCGTGGATGGGGGGTCTCTGTGACCTGGGCTGTGGCCAGGGCGGACCAAAGGCCGGGGGAAATGGAGGAGTGAGGAATGCCCGGGACTGGCCTGCCCTGTGTTCTCTCAGACGTGTCGCCAGTGAGAGGGGGCCCAGCCCGGGTAGGACTGCGGTGGACACCAACCAAGGCAAGAAGGCATTGAGGTGGGGCGGGTGTCGGGGCCAAGCCTCACCGTGCTGCTCACGTTTGTCCAGAGAGACCCCACGACAGGGAGGAGGGCCGTCCGGTCTCTGTCTGCAGGGAAAGGGGCACTGGCCCAAGAGCGCAGACTCCTAATCTGTTCTGTGACTTGGACAGAGAGCCTCACCATCCTGGGCCTCGGGGTCCTCATCTGTCACATGCAGACGTGACCAAGGGGACCTGCCATCCTCGTAGATGAGACAAGTCATGGCTCCACCGCGGCTCCTCGGGTGCCGAGGGCAGGGGTCCACCTCTCTGGGGACCGCCTCAGTCCTCTGTTGCCCTCTGGGGGCTCAGCTCACCTTGCAAATGCCTGACGTGGCACCAGAGGCAGCCGAGCGCGGGACCGTGGTCCACAAAAGACGGGAAGGCAGTCTTTATTATTTTCAAGTGTATTAGGGATTCCTGCCAAGTTCTCAGGAAACCCGGCCTTGGACAGGCCCTTCCTCGTGTCAATGCTCCTCGCGAGCAGGCCCGAGGGGCAGTACGTGCACACGTGTGCACATGCTCTCCGCCAAGTCCGCGTGCCGCCGCCGCTCCGAAGTACGCTCCCTCTGTGGAAGTCACCTGCCTGCAGCTCGTGGCCTGGGAGCCAGGCTCCAGAACCTCTGCTGTAGAGTCAAGGTGACAAGGGTGACAGATGACACTCGGTTCCCAAGTGCCTGTGCTGTGAGGATGTTGGGCCGGGCCTAACCAAGGCCTGGGTACCTCGCCTGGTGTGGGAAATGCCCCCTTG